TTATTGGAAAACATTTTACTTTTTTATATAATCTGGTAATGATGTGGGGCATAGTTTGAAACATATTTCCACTTTATGCATGTAGTTTCAATGTAGTCTAGTTAGCTACTATTAGTTTGCAGTTTAGCTCACTATCTAGTTGTTCTAAGCAGTAGCCTGACTAAGCTTGAACTGCTTCATATTATAAGCAGCTTTCAGCATGACAAACTATGTTTCAAAGCTTCTTCAGTTTCACTCCTGATTCACACACAGAAGCTGCTTCTGCATTCTGCACATGATCCATATTTCACCCATATTTACGTGATGTTCATAATTATATGAGCCCTTAGATCCATTCTGAATCTTTCAAAAGCCTTGCGATGTGTATAGAAAACATTTACAGGCTAAGAAGGGGACATTGGGCTTCATGTTAAGAATGGGATACTAGCATACTACTTACTGTGCAGTATACACACAGTACTTTATACTGCCTACTAATTGTAAAAAAATGTAATTTTACTACAAAATAATGTAGTAGTAATGGAAAAAAAAGACCTCATGGCAATGCATGTTCAGTTTAGTGGTGTCCAGTTTTAATCTGAAAAAAAAAAAAAAAGAAGATATTTAGCAATATTTGACAAATGTAGGTCAGTTTGTGTACTAAGTATTGCAGCAACAGTAATAGTAGTAGGTTATACTTTATTTCAATAATCCACTTTAGACATTCTACTGGCTACTTTGCAACTAACTCTCATTAGAGTATTAGTAGATGGTTATGGTCAGGGTTAGTAGAAATAGTTGGCATGCATTTGCAAAGTTACTTACAGTCAGTACTGGGGAGACTACTTACTAATTGTAGCCCGTTACTGATTACAGATTACATGACTGAAATTGTAGTTATTAACATAATCTGCATTACACATATTTGGTAATGTAGTCTGACTACTATTTGATTACTTTTAGATTACTTTTTACCTAATTTGTTTATCATATACGTAGACTTGAATGGGATTTTTATGTACCAGAAAAAAAAATAAAAAAAAAACATTCTTTGTTATCAATATCATGAAATGCATTAAACATTGCATTACCGCAGGGTTTCATGAACTGTAGGGTGTTGATTAAAAGCTAATAATTAATGAAATCATAAAAAAATGTCTAATTGAAATTTAAATGTCAATCATCAGAGAACTGTGAACAAGCAAACATTAATAAACATGAAAACATGACATTACGTGGCCAAAGTCTTCCAGATTTGAAATATTTTTTGTCCAGATTTTCAATATTAATACTTTGTGAAGATCACCGGATATGATGATGTAGTGTTTTGCAGCTATGCATCAGCAGAGTTTAGTTTAGTTGCCTAATTATCAGTCTTACATATATAAGTGGTAGGTTTATTAAAAATTGAAAATAAATAAATGAATATTGCGTACCATTGCGTGAATATGTAATCATGTAATCCATAAAAAAGCAACTGTAATCTGATTAAGAACATTTTAAAATGTGATATAATCCAATTACAGCTACTTACTTTTTCAAATGCGATTACCTAATCCAGATTACATGTAATCAGTTACTCTCCAGCAATACTAGCAGATGTTAAGCCGACATTCTACTAATACTCTAATGACTGCAAGCTGAAATGCAGTTGCAGTTGTTTATAGTTAGTAGAACATCTATTGTTGACTATGAAAATAAAGTGGTACCTAGCAGGATGGTATTACGTTAGAGTGTGTTTGTGTAGAGAGATTGCACAAAGGCTTGCTCAGAGGGTTTTTCTTAAACACAGACGACGCCTTTCCCCCTAACACATCAATTCTGTTAAAGCAGAATGAATATATCCACCCGCCAGCGAGAGAGGCGGCATGTGAGAATGTGTGCCCTTCTGTTTATCGTTTCCTTTCGGACCAGCCAAATTGCAGGAGTGATTTCCATGCCATGATTCATCTCCCCTCACCCTTCTGCTCGCCGCTCTCAGAGCCCGACTCTGTTCTCCTCCTCTCTCTTTCATCTGCGTCTGATGGCTCTGAGAGAAATCTGCAGTGCCACTTCCCGCTGGATGTAGAGATGAAAATCACAGTGCTCTATCGGAAATGACAGGCGATTTTCCTAAAATGACGGCCTCATCCGGGTCAGAAACAGCAGCGAGCTGCATTTGCTGTCTGTTTGCTCGTGTATTGATCTTTGTTTCTTGACGTCTTTGTTCACGAGTGCCCTCGCTGTAGAGATCTGCTGCGATTACCTCCCACGGTATTCTCTACTCCGCCCCGTCTGTATTTCTCCTTCTCGTTTTCTCCCGTTCCCTGCTGGTGAATCTTAATTAGGATCTGACTAGGCCACGGGCCTGTGAGCATCAAAGAGTAGAAATCAATCTGAGATTTAGAGAGATATGCGTGGAGGACTTCTGACTGCCGGGAGCTGCCATCTGCAGACATGCTGAATCATGGTCCCTCTCA